AACTGATGACTGGACGGACGTGGGTGAAATAGTGACATGATAATACACCGAGGACCTACTATGAAGCCAAACACCTTTTTATGACACTAACGACAATGATGCTGTGAAACCGAGGACAGTGCTTCGGAGCCGATGACAATGCAGTGACACCGATGACAAAGTCATGAAACCGATGACAATGTTATTCAGCCGATGAGAATGCTGTGAAGCCAATTGTGCTCTGCCTACCCCCACCTCACTCATGACTCATGATGTAGGCAATGTGTGGTCACTTGTGACCACAATTGCTTGTTTCATTGGCTGGGTTGCACCGGCAAGTACTTCGAGGATCTTCGAGGCTTTGGAGAGTAACTTTGAGACACAGTGACCCTGGAGCTTGCCATGGATTGAAAATAGGTTTATTTTCTGAAAAAAATATGAATCTGATGAATTCCTGAAATATGAAATGAGAAAACTCAATTTTAGCGAATATAAAAAAATATGAAAATAATGCAACTAGAAAAAGACAGGATCCCCTCAAGGAACATTTCAGGAATTCTTCAAATCAACCATTTTTCAATCTTTGGCAAGCTCCAGGCTGATTTTCATATTTTTTTTCATATTATTTTCATATTTTTTTGATTTTTTTTTTCTTTTTTTTTTTATTTTGTCCACTTTTTTTCCATATTATTTTCATATTGAAAAAAGCGACCATATTTTTTTCATATTTTCAGAATCATAATTTTTCATATTTTTTTCAGAAAAAAAACCTAAAGCCAAGAATCCCTATCCTCCAGGGATACGTATGTCTCAAGAGTAACTTGGATCGGCAAGACATATGGTCACATGACTGGTGATATGTGGTAGCTGCTTAGCTTGCGCGTATGTCCTCAATACCAATGAACCCTTCTTCCCGGTGGCTTGCCACCTTTCAGACTCCGAACAGCGCGTCTTCGGTTTGCGAGACTGAAGGTGTCATAAAAGACATGACAAAAAGCAGGAGCATCTATGAAGCACATGAAAAAGCAGCCAATTCCCCATGCCCTCGAAAGCAGTGCTGCCAAAAAACTGCACTCTATGTCTTCCGTCTGATCTATCCGAATCTATCCTTTCATGTCAACACCAGTCTCAGGACATCTCTAGATTCAGATCCATTCTTTATAGTTGTCCATTTCGTTTTGAAGGGGCTTCTCATCCAGCTACAATCATGTCGATCGCGGAAACCACAAGGCGCCTCTGGTACTCCACTGAGCTTGCTGTTAATCAAAACTTCGCCATTGACACCGCCAGAAATCTCGGCGCGATCGGGAGACGCTGAGAGTCTGCGAACGGTGACCAAATATGCACGGGTGTGTATTTTAAAAACGCGACACCCAACCAATGTATTTTAGTCTATATAGAGTCTATTCTATTCTATCTTCCTTCTTCCAGGTGTTTGGGGGGATCTCCCTATTTTAATACACACCCGTCAGGACATGTAAATATTCCGATCGATTCCTCAGAACATTTAGACACACCAAGACTTTGACGAGGGTCCAGTGATGTTCGTTCAAGCTTTGGTCGATAGACGATAGATGACGTGAGATACGTGAGATTGAATGTGGGTCAAAACACGGGGGACATTGACCAGCGAACATGAACAGAATAGAACCTACCAGGGAGATCAACCTGTTTGGACCAGGTTTTGACCCACAGCCATATGAATGTGGTCGGTCCTTCTTGATCACTCGCACTTCATCAGAGTTCTCCCATTTGCACTCAGTTTCAGGCCATGTTCCCCGTGCTGTTGCAAATGCAGCTGATTGTTTCCACAATGTCCACGTAGACCTCGCTTTGGAAAAACAAAACAGGTTGGACAAAATGGAATGAATGGTTCTTCCAAACAAAGCGATGCATAGTGATGCTTCACCTCACCTCGTTTGAGCCATACACAACATTCTGCCGCCGCCACCACACCTGCAGGGACGCCAAACCAACGTGGACTTCACAACGGCACCGTCCTTTGTCGTCTTCACAGATCGCAGCACCGCTGGCCAGGCTTAGGAAGACGACAGAAGACAAGGCTCGACAGGGCCGTGACAGGGCTTGTCACACCTCCCAACCTACTAGTGATGGCCTCCAAACTCTCTTGACATCTCTTGACCCTTCTGAAATAAACAGTTCAATGACCTACAAACTGGACGGCATGGCCCCAAAAGGATGAGCATTGCTTTTCCGAATACCAAACAGATGGTTTTCCATGGTTTTCCACTTCCATGTTAGTGACTTGGAGAGTATAGGAGTAAACATTCAAGAAGCACCTGTGTCTTCACTGGATTGAATTTTCAACTGCCTTGAGACGAGAAGTGAACGTGCTTTGCCTCCGCCGAGGCCCCGCCAATATTGCTGTGCCTTGAGAGAGTGAGAGTTATGGAACAAATATCAGCCAGGAGACAAAGCCACCAGAACAAACAGAACTCTGTCTACCAGCAGCTGGAATCAAGAACAGGAGAAATTCAATCTAGCAGAAATTGGTGGTGGGCTATCATGCTCACAAAACAACGTTGGCCTTTCACGGCAACTGCGTTCCCTTTTGCTCTTTTGTTGCTGCATTTTGCTTTATAGCTGTTGTGGAATCTTCCTGCTTTCTCCGGAATCTGGCAGTGCAATGTCATCGCAACAATTCAACCGCAGCCATGTCCGCCTGAGTTTAGTACACTCCTTTTGAACATATCTCAATCTCTTTCTCCTTTCCTGTCTTTCCTCTCTAAGCCAAATGCATCCAAGCTGCGACATGGCCCCCCAAGGCAGAGGTAAGGGCACCAAAGGCCCCACCCTGCCGAAGGTCAAAGCAACACCTCCTGTTAAATCCTATGAGCAAAATCTACTGTCGAAGAAAAATGGTCTAGGAATAGACCATCTATTTGCAGCAAATAACAAGTGGAAATTGAAACGAATGTCCAGTGTTTCCAGATGATCCAGCTTTTTTGCTGGTGCTTTTCACATGGAATCATGGATTGACTCCGAGCCTGTCCAGCAGATTCCAGCGGAACGTCGGACAGCACTTGCGTGCTGCTTCCAGAAACAGCCTGCTCGCAATCTGACGCCCAAAGAAACCCATGTCGCACTCAATACTTGGCTTTCAGCTGACTTGATATTAGGCATGGCTAAACTATAGGGTACACCTTGTCAACCCTACGAAAAAATTTGTGCAAAAATGCCCAGTCATCTTACGTTTGAGACATACCCGATCATATCTGTACATCTGCCAATGCCCACAAAGGCTCTCCATTGTTGACAAGTGTGGCATATATGTAAGTCGCGAGTGGATCGAAAGGACCATCAACAGGGCGTTTCGGCACACATCCGTCTGCACTCTTCGGTGCCAGAAACTGCTCTGACATGTCCTGCAGCTAGAGCAGCTAGAGCCTCGCTGCTTCATGATACCCAGCGTGAAACACTTGTTAATGCTGGAAACCATTGGAAACCTGATGGTTTTTGGCAGGATCACAAATGCATCGGAACGCCTGCACCACTTTCCCGATGGCTGAAGGAGGCGCAATGATGGACTGGACAGGGCTTTTCTCAAATAGACATGCAAATGTGAGCAAAGTATAAAAAGGTTGGTAAATATTATATACATATATGTGTTTACATATATATTCTTTCGGAGAAGATGGCACACAACCCCCAAGAGGTGGTTTCATGAATCCCCATAAATATCATTTTAAGACACGTTTAGAAGATTGCCATCCGCTCTGCATCACTCTGAAACAACATTATAGTTAATGAAACATAAAAGCAACATGAATTGAAAAATCGGCTAAGCAAACGGTATCAGTCTCCTTTGCTTTCAAAAACATTCTTGCATATGTTTGTATCTTTTTGTTTACTAAGCTCCACCGAGGAAAAAGTAGTTCCGTTTCGATTCCAATCGACTGTCCAGACTCCTCCAATCGATTCATTTCCGTCGTGAAGGGCAGGCCGCTGTCGATCATTTCGTCGAGCAGTAAGTACCTCGAAAGGGGTAGCAAAAGGATCAGCTTGTGATGGCTCCCATGTGCGTGATGGTCAGCAACATGCCTACTTCAGCAGACATGTGCGGATAAATATCCGAATAGGTCCTTTCTTGTCTCTCGATAAAGGTTGTTCCAAAGAAGCAACTAAAACAAGTCGGTTTCTGCTTGCCTTTTCAGCTTTCCCGGCTATGTTGCAGCTAAGTGACACGGTCGAAAAGTTCTGCCGAAGTGAATCCTCACTGACCTCGCCCAGGTATCTTAGAAGCACCTGCCACCCAATCAAAGGTCATTGTCAAGAACTGGTATTCAGCCATAAAAAACAACATACAACGCCACAAAAATCTGGCGACCAGAATGAAGCGACCAGATTGGCAATCAGCCAAATCAGCTTGAAGGAACTGCCCCATCCCCAATCCTTCTTGCTTGGCTTTCTCCGGCTTTCTGCCACCTTGTCGGTGAGACGGGGAACGGTTTTCCGCACGCGACCGCGACCGCGACCGCGACCGCGCGCCTGGTAGATCCGGTCGAGCAGTTCAAAGACCGCCAGCGGAGGCTCCTGGAATCCACCGCAGAACTGGAGTTCGTTGAAGCAACTGACTAAGCTGGTTGGAACATGTTGGACCTGTGATGCCGCACGGGTACAACATGTGCACGCCTCATGCGAGACAACTGCCAAGAAGAGCATCTTGTCCTGGGCCCGGCCATCAAATAAGTTGAACAACGCTAATCCCCGTTGAGGTATCTGCTGCTGTCTGAGTGCATCGCGAGCCACTACTGAAACTGACTAGCAGCTAGCAAAATTCAGCTCTCCGCAACGGACCCTTTGTGCGGCTTGCGAACTCTGACTCTACGCAGCATACGCAGCATCTCCACAGAGCGAGAAATCGTGGTCATGTGGGTTGCCGCATTGGCATCGAATGAAATGACCAGACTGAGTTCTGAGATCTCTCACTGAGGTTCTGGTGATTTCTCAGCCAACACATGGCCATTGTGGCTGTTGGGCAGAGGAGTTGCCCACCCTGCTCAAAGCTCCAAGCCAGGCATACTGGAGGCATACGATAGTCCATCTCCCATGGGTGGCGCTGCCTCCGCAAAAAACATGGAAGAACACCATGCATGGAAAGAGCAAAAAGATGCAAGCAGGATGTGTTCAGCTCATTGAAACTTGTTTTGTGAAGAACTCCAGGTAACATCATGCAACTGCGGAAAGCGAAAGCCCGGCCAAGTATGGGAACATCCATTTGAGGCTCCACAGGCTATTTGGACCTCAGTTCAAAGGTAGACCTGCAAGAGTGCTTTAAACTAATCTCCGATCCCCCTTTCCAGTGTGTTTCCATGGTACGAAGACCCATGAATATCTATGGCATGAAGGAAAAAAATGCCTTTCCACTGCTGGCAGTTGCAAGGTCTTGGGCCTTCCACTGCTTCACTACGTGAGGTAGATGTTGTTCATGTCACTGAGGCTTCTGCCAAAGACTTCTTGGCAGTTGCGACTGCGACCGATGTCATACGGGTTTCGGAAGAACCTAAGGGGGGCACCGATGCTCGATGTCAGAGTGCACTCGTGCACGCACTCACCAACAAAGGCACGGCACGCACAAATGGACCCAAATTGAAATCAAGTATGGATCGTGAGTTCACAAGTCCATAGGAAGAGCCACAAATGATGTAAATATAACTTATAGGAACTGTTTTTGTTTTCGGACTTGCGAAAGCACCAGGTCTGGACATATCGCCGCAGTGAGAGCGCTTTTTGGGGTGCATGAAGTCACCAAGGGAGTCACGAGCGATGCTTCTCAGCACAAGTGGCTCGCCGTTCTTCCGACACTGACGTCTCCGAACCATGTTCAGCTGGAACTCGATGGTGGTTTGGTTGGTGAGGATCTGCAGCAAACGTTTTGCATCGTCCAATGTCGGAACATCAACACAGCCCGGAGGAGGATTGGACAACTGAGGCCAAGACCAAGTAGAAGTGAAAGCCACCAAGCATACAAAGGGCCACAAAGATTGAAACACAAATCCTTGGCATCACAAGTAGGTATTGCTTGCAAGCAAACACAAGGCAGCATGGGCTGCTTCGAAATTCCTTTGTTTTCTGCACGTTCTTTTCCCATGTCTGTGAAGTGGTTAAGTTGTGTTGAGCTGAGGAAAGCGGTCAGCCCCACGTGATGTCTACATGCATACGTTGATCCAAGGCGCATGAAAGACATCAGGACGCAGTTTCGAAATGCTCGGGTTCCTCTCCGCCCAAAGGCGAAAATGATATCGTAGAAGAAAAAGCCAAAGACCTTTGAGACGAACATGGGAGCGTTCATCCCACGTTTGATGAAGCCAAGAATATATCGTTCATCCATGTTCATCCCACTAAAAAGGGATCGTTCATCCCACTATACAAAATGGGATCGTATGATGCACACACGATCCAATACGATCCAAAGTCCGAAGTCGATGGGACAACTCCAGTCTGGGGCGCTGGCCGCGATAATGAAGAGACAAGCGAGTCCAAGGAAAAGCAGAAAGAGGAAGAAGAATCTGTAGTTGCCAATACCTTCCAGTTGCTGTCATGCCGAATCCAATAAGTGACTCTAAGGTTCCACAAAATCGAGGGGTGTAGCTGCCAAAGATCCAGCAAACTGCTGTTGTTGGCTTGTTGGCTTATTGGCCTGTTGGACCCCACCAGATGCTGGTCGAGCCACCAACACAATTGTTGATCCACCTCAGCGTCAAAGACCATCTCAGCTCCCGCCAAAAGCGGCTCATTCAGACAATCTGAGTGTGCCTAATTCACAATCTACCCGTGAAACTAGATTGGGATAGAGGATCGATTTTAAGAGAAAGTCTCAAGACACCTCAGAATCACAATAATACTTGCCAACAGGATTCGGACAATGATGATCCATCTTCATAATGCACACCCCACACACACTGCAGTGATGAGCGCGAGGAGGCTTCAGCAGTCCACACTTGGTACATTGCCTACAGCCACAGCAAGTGTCACAAAGACTATGTACTCAAAATGGAAAAAAAGTAACATCTAAAACAAATAGTCAATGTATGTCCATGTAGTAACTAACATGACAAAACGTGTCTTTGATCGATAGGCCTGGATAGGTCTCATCATGTAAACCATTCCCTTTCGATGACACCGGGGAAACCGGAAACGAAGACCTCAGATCTCGATCCCGCCATTGGCCCAGGCCTCATTCGATACGGCCCCTGGCCTCGCGGGGATCTGCTTCTCGGTGATGTTCATCAACTCCGGTTGCTCCTGAACATCGCAAACCATCCACGGCGTTTTTTCACGAGATCCAGTGGCAAAAATACCTTTGGATGGGGAGAATGAACTCCATTTCCGGACATCGTCCTTGAATGTGGGACCCGGCCCAGCATGGTGTTTGGTGATTAATGCATGCTAGTGCTACTCCAGCTGTGGATGGGGTCTCCACTTCTTTTGCAAGAAACCAATTCACTGTATCATTTCTGCCCATCACCTGTCCCTTGCATGTGGTTGACCGGTCGCCTTCTCGTAGGGCGGAGGAATTCCTCCCGGTGTCAAAATCGCCTGGATGCAGCGACTTAGCGGCGATGCTGCTCCATATTCCGGTGACAGGCCGTATGACATCGAAGGTGAGAATGGTGCTGGTTGAGACTCTCAGCTGTTTGCTGTCTCGAGAGACAGCAAACACCCGAGACAGAAATAGAGTTTACTCTGGGGCCTCTACTCGTCAACAAACCACTCCTTACTATCGGGATCTATCAGGTGTTTCCTCCACACGGGTGTGTCTCAATGTGCCCTACCACCAAATTTTGCCAAAGGCCTCTGCCGCCAAAATTGCCCAAACACCCAGAATATCCCAGAATAAACTATAGTCTACATGCAAATTTACAATTACGTTACAAATTCAGTCTCGCCTTCGTGTAGTTGTACAACCTCGACAACCACAGCAACGACTCGGTTTCTATGCTCTGCATGCCAACATGCCTAGATAGCCTTAAACAAAGACTGCCAAAAGCAGTTTGCTTGAACAATGAATTATCCAAGCAACTTGAAGTGATTTATGAACATAAATTGTGAGCGTGACAGAATTAGCACAGCAAAACGTTCATGCTGACCAAGAAGCGCATTGGCGAGGAGGAACACACCAAGAATGGATAAAGCGATAGATGCCGGCCATCCAGCTTCTAAAGAGATTGGTTCCAACCCATGCCAAAAGAATGCATAGGTGACAAAACCTGCGCTCCAGGGCAAATCAAAAAGAAGGCAGAATGAAGCCCATCTGAATCGCTGATGAGCAAGCCGCGCATGGTTGCACAAGCATTACTCCAAGGGGTGCAAACATACACCAACCTATATATCACCAACCTACTCGGTCACACAAAACTTCGACATCGCTGGCCGTGCCTTGTAAGCAAAAGGCCAGGATCACCAAGCAAGGGCCAATGATGCGCATGGCCACATGGAAAATACTGGCACCGGTCAAGCTCAGTTTCGCTCGTCGACTCGCTCCGTGATCGTCGACCCAACCACTGAAAGCTTCATCTGAAAGGATTCTCAGGTTTTAAGACATTCACCACAAGCTTCAGTTTGGTCTGCTTCCAAAGATTGACCTATTTAGAATCGCTGTCAGGTTCCTGATCAATTGATATTAATATCATAGTGTATATATTTACTGCATTTCGATGCTCAGGTGCATGGTGTCAGGGGCATGTCTCCAAGATCAGCCCTCTTCGGTGACTGCTGCACGTCGTTGCTATCGTAAAGCATGCCGCTACATCATGCTACCTTGCCATATCTATATATATCTAATTACTATTATCTACCCATCCCCGCAAATCGCGCTTTCAAACCCGCCCAACCCAACCCAAAACCCGCGATGCACCAGCCAATCGCTCCCACCAGGCAATGGCTCCCGCCTTTGTCCAAGGCGCACAACGCTGTCCACCAAGCGCACAATGTCACGGCTTGCCTTGGCAGAGCTCGAGGAAACGTGCCTTCCCTGAACCACAGAGCTCGAGGTGAATCGGTTCCGGGTTTATCCCCGATGAATGATGCCGACCTTAAAGGGTCTGTATACATTTAACCTGACTAAGCGAAGAAACTGACGTGGCAGACTTGGGATGGGTTGAAAAGTCCGACTGCTTAGGAGGGGTTGATGTAGAGTGTGCTCATCCATATTCAATGATGTTCTCCCTTGACATTGGAGGCCAGGAAGACATCATGATTGTAGGCCCAAACACTTTTTCATGTTTTTTTTCAGTCGACACAGCGGGTGTTTCATTTCTAGTCTATTGTGTTTGCTGGTGGTGCATCTGTGTTTCTTGAATTCCAGATCACACCCTTAGAGTTCACAAGACAACTCTGTCCAGGTTGCCCTGTGGAAGGCTACGCCAGTGGCACTGCGATGCTCTCGGTGACCCTCTTCTTGGTCGGAAGCCAGTTGGTTCTCAGACGCCTTGGGCATCGCAGAATCCTCGATCCTTGAACATTGGAAGAATGAACCTTATGTAGTACCCCCCTTATAATCCCTTATATATCTTATATGAAGAGGTTCTACAATCCGAATGGGGGGGGGCTGATTAATCACGAGATATCAAGTATCACGGGTCTACGTTAATATAGACAGTTGATTTGTTCAATCCCACCATTTCTTCAGAATTGTTTTACAATGTGTTACAATAATATGTTACAATACTTTACATATCCATATGAAAGTGTGTCTGATTCGTTAACCGTCTACATGAAAGGACCGTCGTCCACCTGTGGTGTGGTGTTTCACACACTGTTGGGGACGACACCGTCAAAGCATTGGTCTGATCAATAAATCATATCCCGTCGTCATCCATTGCTCTATTCATCAATGGGTATCGATGCATCCCGGAGATGCTACTGTATTTTACTGTATTTCCCTTTCTTTGCAAATTCTCTCAATGAGCTACCGACAAGTTTGGTGCATCCGACTTACAGTCGATTTATACTAGTCTGCTAAAAGTTCTGCTGATTGGACAGTTGGACAATCGAATCGCTTCATAAACATCCTCCGCTGGTGTTCGATCCGCGTATGTGTGTGTGTGTGTTCACCAAGCCACGGCCTCTCCCACGACTTTCCGCCGCGGTTCCCCTCTCATGGGATTCATGCACCAGGTCGGCTGTCCCAGGAAGGAGTGTGTGTTGGCCACAAAGATAGGGGTACGTTGCTGTTAACTCATTTCCAGATATCAAGTACTGCAACGTAGAAAATCCCATGACTACCTAGACTAGGTGACCATAAGTTTCTTGGATGCCTGCTGCCTGCTGCTTGCTTTCTCTTGGCTTGGGTTTTACGTCCGCCCAAATAGAAGCATCAGAGTCCCAATTCGCATTTAAGTCTTGCAGCTCCAAACAAGAGAGCCTCTTGCTGTTTCATGTCGGCCCTCGTTTGATCATGGTAGTCCATGTGCTTTTGCAGCCAAAGCAGCTGCAGGCAACTCTCTCGGATTCTGAAGGTGCAGGGGAACTAGATTCTTCGATTCTGGCCAATGTGGTTTCCTCCAATTCTATCCAATTCTACTGTTTGGCACTTTCCCAACCAAAGTGTCAAACACACATACGTGAGGACAAAAACACTTGCAAATGACCGTCAGTGGTCTTCCTTGAAAACATCCTTCAACGACCTTTCGGGAACACGTCCGGAGAGAAAACGTTGGACGGGAACGTCGACGTCACCGACGTCTCGGTCAGAGATCGCACGCACAGCACGACCGTGATCGGACTGCAGTCGGTCTGGGTCCCCATGCCCGAACCACGTGGATGAGGACGTGCTTTCTGTTCGCACTGAAGACCTGTGAAGTGTAAGCCACTAGCTCAGTCGGGCTTGGTGGTCCTTCTGAACCCACGAGTCACTCAGCCACAGGTCACTAGAGAATCTCAAATGTTGTAAGACATTGGATGCGTACAAAGGTCACGACATCAAGAAACGCAATCGAGAAAGCTTTACATATTGTTGAAGTTCTACCCTGATGGTGTATGTCCGACCTCCACTGCTACGGACTGCTATGGAAGGCGATGAACAATGATTCATAGAGAAGAAGAGCTGGTGAAGACAGAAAGCTGCCAGAGAACACCCTCTCTTATCATTATCTCTCATCTGAGGCTGCTGCTGGGGGCAGTGCATCTGGCTTCTCTCCAGCGCAAAGCTTGGCGACCAAAGGCTCACCTTTGGCTCATCTATGC